CCCAGCAGTGGCTCTTTTTTTTTTGGCCCTAACCTTGAGGCTACACCCTCCCAGCCAGTTTGTCACTGGCCAGCTCCACTGGAATACATTCATAACCCTGCAACCTTAGGTATAAACTCCAATTCTTGACTTCTGTTCTCCACCCCCAAGCTGCCACTCCCTAATCCACCTTCATCTTCATTATCCAGCGAACAGCAGGGCTAGCACTAGGTTCACATTCAACCCCACAGCCACTTGGGTCAGTTTTTCCTTTAAGACCACTGCCTGTCCACCTAGCCTCCATGCTCCCTGGAACCTATCTGGCAACTTATTTTCCGAACAGCAGCCAGTTACCCGAGTTGGCAGAAATTCACTATCCTAATCCTCATCTCACAACATGGGGATCTGAAATCCTCAGAAGTGAAAGGATCTGTTCAAGGTCCTAGAATGAATGCTTGTGCATAGTTCTCCGTTTCTAAAAGCAAACCCAGTGGTACCCCTTGGCCCCTCCAGACACAGACCTCTGGACACCTGGGCCTCTAGCCAGGCCCCCTTTCCAACTTCCTCCTGCTCACCGAGGAAGCCACCCACCTGCCAACCTCATGTCCACTTCTCCGGCTGGGTTGAGGCCGCCAGCAGGTGAACCGTGCACTCTGGAGGCAACAAAGCAGAAGAGCAGGTTTGGGTGGGGATCAGGGATGAGCCAGTGCTGGGCCCTTGCTGCGGGACGGGCGCGATCGGTGTACTAACTTGTTCGTCCAACCTCCTGGCCGGGCTCCTGGGGAACGCGGAGAGAAGCTCTGTTGGGACAGAAGGGGCCTCGGAAACGCGTTGGCTCAAGGTCGATCGTGCCCACGGGAGCCTCTGAGATGCAAATGGAAGTGGTTCTCTCTGACGCGGGCCCCTCCCGTGGGAGGCCCCGAGCTCAGGCCGCCCCTCCAAGCCTGGGGCCGGTGACGTGAACTGGGCCGACCGGAGACTTGCCTAGCTGTGGGGAGATGCGACCTCAGTCGGGGGCAGCCCTGTCAGGTCGGCCACCCCGTCCTGCTCAGCGAAAGGAAAGAGCTTAGGCAGCCAAGCCGCGCGGCCTGGCAAT